TTCCACTTTATTTTCGCTTTCTGGCCCACGTGTGATAATGTCCTTAAAAACACAGGAATCCAAAGAAGGCCTAGTCTTAGGGATCACATCTCTCCACTGTATTTAGAGAGATCTTGTAGCACAGGGGTAGGCAACCTTTTTGAGTCGGGGGCTGGTCCCGCGAAGTCCTTTCCGCTGCTGGGCCGAGGGGGGGGGAAATGGCGGTGCGCACGCGCAACCCCCCCGCACGTGCTGCCGCCGCCGCCTCCGCTACACAGCCGCCTCTGCGCACGCCGCGGCCGCCATTTTGATTTTCAAAATGGTAGCTGCGACTTGTTTGCGCATGCGCAGTACTCCTGCGCATGTGCAAACGCATTGCGGCTGCCATTTAGAAAATCAAAATGGTGGCCGTGGCACGCGTGGCCACATGGCGGCCAAAACGCACGGTGGCAGTGGCGCGCGGTGGCGGCGGCGGCGACCTTCTGCCTGGGCTGGTAAGTATGGGGACCTGGGCCTTAACCGGCCCACGGGCCATAGGTTGCTGGTCCCTGTTGTAGCACCTTTGAGACTAAGGGCCATTGCAGACTGCCAGAAATAGAGTCCACTTTAACTGCAAATTGAGTCCACTTTAACTGTCCTGTCTCAGTGCTAGGGAATCATGGGAGCTGTAGTTTATTGTGGCACCAAAGCTCTGTGACAGAGAAGGCTCAATGCCTCAGAAAAAAATACAATTCCCATGATTCCCTAGCACTGAGCCTCTTTCTTTCAGTTGTCTCAAATGTGCTGGAAGCTCTCTCTACATATGGATTCTACAGACTTACACGGCTATATCTTTAAAATCTCTCCACTAGATAGGCTCTCATTTCAGTGGGGCAGAGAATCCACTCCAGGTTTTAAAGGAGCCCCTTTAGTTTGAATTTTAAAGGAGCTATCCAAGATGAGAGCCAGCCTGGCATAGCGGTTTGAGTGTTTTGGACTATGATTCTGGAGACCAGCGTTCGATTCCCTATTTGGCCATAAAATCCACTGAGTGACCTTGGGCAAGTCGCATGCTCTCAGCCTCAGGGGAAGGCAACGGCAAACCTCCTCTGAACAAATCTAGCCATGAAAACCCATGATGGGGTTACTATAATTTGGAAATGACTTGAAGGTACACAAGAATAATCCAAGGTGCTTGACATATTTGGGGGATATCATTCAGCACCTTGGATGACTCTTTTAAAATTCACACTAAACACTAGAATGGATTCATCACCCCATTGACATGGAAGCCATTGCCAACCACTATGAGCAGATGTAAAAGTGTACCAGTGGTATAGAACTGGGTCGGGGGGTCAGGAGAGGAACCGTATCACATGGAGGGGTAGGGTGTCCCCCCCCCCCAAATGTACTCTTCTACTTGCTCATTGAAGATACAGTTGGTGATCCTCTTTGGATCTGTTTTTCCTGCAACTATTGCAGGGTGTGTGCGCGCCTTCGAGTCACCTGTTGAATTATGGCAACCCCATGAATTTTGCCCCAGAGTTTTCTTAGGCAATGAATAGAGGGGTTTTTGCCAGTTCCTTCTTCTGAAATATAGCCACAGCTCCTAGGATTTGCTTTTTCATCTGCTTTTAAAATGTCCCTGTTTCGTTCTCTTCCTCCCATGTTCCCTCTTTGTCCTCAGCTTACTTCAATCACTGCAAAAGTGAGTTCAAAGTGCAAAGGTACAGTCAGCCCTCCACAGATTCTTTTCCATAGATTCAAGCATCCATAAATTGAAAATACTTTTAAAAAGGTAAAAACTCCAAACTCCTCGATTTTGCCATTTTATATAAAGGACACCATTTTACTGTGCTATTGTATTTAATGGGACTTGGGCATCCATGGATTTTGGTATCCACAGGGCATCCTGGAATCAAACCCCACTGGATAACAAAGGGTCTCTGTAGTTTGCACTTAACTAATGCAGCAGTGGGGACAAGAGAGGAAGGGGAAGAATCTTTCCCTTCCCAGTAGGCTCAGACAAAAGCAAACTGCTGCAACCTCCCCTAGCTAATGTCTTCTTTTTCATTAATAGCTTTTGCCATCTTGATCACACTCTGTTGTTGCTTGGCCCTACATGCTTTCACTTGAAATTCTGGGCATGTATTTAGGCCCACCACTGAGTGAAAGCTGCCAGTGACAAGCCTGCCTGATGTCAGTTCCCCACGCCAGTTTTCATATTTGAAATTTTGGAGAGCATGGACACAAAACCCAGTAAATTCTATAGTATTGCCAGGTCATGGCTATCCCGTACCTCGAGCTTTCAGGGTCCAAACCTGTGGCTTAGGAGCATGTGATGCCACAGGAGATGGGACCTGGTGATGTTATGAGAATGATGCTACAAGGGGCAGTTCCCGATAATGCCATTCTGTATGATGATACATTGAGCATCAACCACAGCTGCACAGGGTATGCCACTCAAGTGAAGAACTGAAAGTCTAACAAATGAGAATAATGTGGATGCAACACTTTTCTCTCACCCTGAGATCCCTGTTCTATCCCTGAAAATTGGAGAAGAAGGTCCAGGATGTGAGATTTAGGAAACCTAGATTTCTGATCTAGGGTGGAAACTTGAGTCAATTTCAACTAATATGGTGGCAGAATAGTGTGCAGGGATTTTTTTTTTTTTGCCCGCCCCTTGTTGCAGAGGGTGTACAAAAGTTTTTTTTTTTAAATGAAATATTTAAGAAATTGCTGATGTTCACTATAATAACATGGTTGTTAGAGCTAGTTAGCAAGCCATTGAGAAAGGACCAGGCCAGCCAAATTAGGTACAGTTGGCAGGAAAGTGCCAAAATGGAAATCTGTTCACAATAATAAGAAAATTGGTGGGACTGTGTTGCTTATTAAATAGATGCATTTGGATGACATGATGTACAGCCGCACTACATTGCCCAGGTGAATACAGGGGTTGATAGTGGGAGTGCTAAATGTATTGGACTTGTGGATATAGAGGGCAGGGAATGTCCCAACCCCAATGGAATCCGGGGCCCATTCACACTACACAATTATAATGCTACTATTTCATTTTTACTGCCTTGGGACCTATTCAAGTGACAGTGCTATTATTCCACTTTGGCTCCATCCTATGAAATCCTTGAATTTGTAGTTTGGTAATGCAGTAGAGCTCTCTGGCTGAGAATCCTAAATGCCACTCCCTAAATTGCCAACGCCAGGATTCCTTAGGATGAAAACATGACAGTTAAAGTGGAATAATGGTGCTATGATTCTGTAGTGTGAAAGGGCCCATGGTTCTGTCCTATGGAATCCTGGGATTGTCATTTGGAAATTGTTTAGTTCTGTGTGAAGTCAAAGGCTTGCATCCATAGATTTTTGTGGGTTTTTCGGGCTGAGAGGCTGTGTTCTAGAAGAATGTATTCCAACATAAGAATAATATATTCTTCTAGAACAGGGGCCGGCAACCTATGGCCCGGGGGCCGTTTCTGGCCCAGGGCCCTGCGCTTACCGGCCCAGGCGGACCCCTGCCACCGCCGCCACCTGCCACCACTGTGTGTTTTGGTCGCCACGCGGCTGCGTGCGCCGCAACCGCCATTTTGTTCTCCAAAATGGCAGCTGCAACGCGTTTGTACATGTGCAGGAGTACTGCGCATGCACAAATGTGTCGCGGCCGCCATTTTGGAGAACAAAATGGCGGTCACGACATGTGCAGAGGCAGCTGCGGCAGTGCGTGCAGCAGTGGCGGCGGCGGCAGCAGCACGTGGGGGGGTTGCACACAGCGGCGGGGGGGTTGGCCCCTGGCTCAGAAAGGTTGCCTACCCCTGTTCTAGAACATGGCCTCACAGCCCAAAAAACACACAAAAACCTATGTTCAGTTCTGCTTCCTGATCATCTGAACAAATGCCATGTAGAAGATGGAGTGAGCCTGTTTTCTGCTATGCCAGAAACAAGAACCCAATAGATTCAAAATGCCAGAAAAGAGATTCCACCTAAGCATTAGGAAGAACTTCTTGACTCTAATTGCTATTCGACAGTGGAAAAGACTGTCTTTCTTCTTTGGATGTTTTTAAACAGAGGTTGGATGCCTCTCTTATAGGAGTGCCTTCACTGTGTATTCTTGCATGGCAGGGGCTTGGACTAGATCAGTGTTCCCAGTCTTTGGTCCTCCAGATTTTTCAGGCTTCAGCTCCCATCATTCCTGGCTGTTGGCCAAGTTGTCTGGAACTTCTGGGATCTGAAGCCCAAACCAAATGAAGGGCCAACCACTTAACTAGATGGTTCTTGTGGCCCTTTCAAACTCTGTGATTCCTAGACTACTGTCACACTGCAAAATTAATGCAGTTTGACACTGCTTTAACTGGGATTTGAGGTTTGCTATGGCATCAGAGCTCGCTGACAGAGAAGGATAAACATCTCACAAAACTACAAATCCCAGAATTCCATAGAATTGAGCCATGGCAGGTAATGCAGTGTCAAGCTGCATTAATTCTGCAGTGTAAATGTGTGTGTGTGTGTGCCTTCAAGTCATTTCAGACTTATGGTGACACTACAGCAAAATTATCACAGGGTTTTCTTGGCAAGTTTCTTCAGAAGGGGTTTGCCATT